TCTTTGGCGGCCATTTTCACTCTAATTTTACCTCTGAAAGCATGTGAACCCCACCTCCTTCCTTCGCAAATATCTTGACTTGTATTCAAGATAAATGGATAATTTTTCATCCAAATAAAGACGAGTGAACAATCTTTAAGATGATACTAATAACTCTACATGCTGAAAAATTGACGAGAGCCTGATTCCACCACGCTGCCTCACATATTAATTATGTAGCCAACTAGGCTAGTACACCTACGGAGGTGCAGTCAGTATCTTTGTATACAGTTGGGTTTTTTGTTTTATTTACGCAGTTCTTACTTGAGTGGCATGTCTGTCGTTAGAAGATCCGACACGTTGATTAAACTGTAAAAAGAGATTTTCACCTAGAAAGTGGTGACATTTCTCTATTTCAGATAAGCAAATATTCAAAAACTATTAAAATATCAGATTTCATTTCTTTAAGGGAAGACCCGGATCGGCAATTCCAGAGAATACTGATTTCATTTTTCAAAATGTGAGGCAGCGTGGTGGAATCAGGCTCTCGTCAATTTTTGGGCATAAGGAGTTATTGGTATCATCTTAAAGTTTATTCACTTGTCTTTATTTGAATGAAGATAATATCCATTTTTCTTGAATACAAGTCGAGATATTTGCGAAAGAAGCAGGTGGGGGTCACCTGATTTCAGAGGTAAAATTATTGAGAAAATGGCCGCCCAAGATTAGTTATTTCCTTAGCTTAAGAGTCCGTGGTAACTGAAAATTTTCATTTTTTGAGCCTTTAACCAACGTTTTTCAGAAAAGTCCACACAGAAATTAGTTCTGTAATGGGCAAGAAAGGTGTTAGATCAAAAAACAAACAAAAATTTGATAAAAATTCACAAACCTGCGGAAAAAGGCAAGTTTCTTCACTTTCATTATTTTGACGAGAACCTGATTCCACCACGCTGCCTCACATATTGATTTTTTTTCTTTCGGACAAACATTCTTCAACATCTGTTCTATCGGGTCACAATGACGAAACTGTTTTTAAAAAAACCACACTAAATGACCAAGATGGGTGTTTGAAAAATGGATTATTGAACTTCAAGTCCTTTTTTTTTTAATCCTGTTTTTTTCTGTTTTTCTCAAAATCTGCTTTTTCACATATTATGTGACCTCGTTGGTGAAAGGAATTTTCAAGAACTACTGAAACTAGAAGCTTCAAATTTGGTATACAATTGCTTCACGATCTGTTCTGAAGATCTGTGTGGGGAAAATAGGAATTATTGGTTACTTGTGGAAATACTCAAATTTGTTCTAACATATTCCACAATGTTTCGACAACTGAGACCAGGGAGTCCTTTGACTTTGGGCTCAGTTTTTCATTTTTAAAGAAAGTCAAAATCCTTTCATAGATCCACAGTCCATATAGGTTTGCACTTGCTTGTCAAATTTCAGGCTGAATTTCCAACATTTACCCAGGAACTTTTTGTGCAATTACATGAAAGTGAATAAAAGTCATTCTTTTAGAAAATGTTTCCTGGAGTGTACATCTCCCCTTAAAGATGCTTATGTTGACCCTCAAAATCTTTGCACAAACTCACTCAGTCCTGGTTTCCGTGCATGGCAGATAACTTCCGGACAACTTTCAGTATCGAGTAACGTCATTTTAACTAGTTTTAAAAAAACAACACAAAAAAACATCATGTATTTAAAATAAAAACAATAAAACATCAGTGTATCAGTTGTTGTTTTTTTAATTAACGAAAAGGCCCTGTTGTATATTTTATTCTTGGTGTGTTTTTCCTTTGTTTTCTTGTTTGTTTGTTTGCTTATAATAATATTTGTGGTGGAATCAGGCTCTCATCAATTTTTGGACATGTAGAGTTATTTGTATCTTCTTAAAGCTTGTTCACTGGTATTTATTTGGATGAAAAAAACATCTATTTATCTTGAATACAAATCGAGATATTTGCAAAAGAAGGAGGTGGGGGTCCTCTGTTTTCAGAGGTAAAATTAGTGAGAAAATGACCGCCAAAGATTAGTTATTTCCTAAGCTTAAGAGTCCGTGGTAACTGAACATTCACATTTTTGTGCCTTTAATCAACGCTTTTCCGAAATATCCACACAGAAATGAATTCTTTAATGGGCAGGGAAGGTGTTGATCCAGAAAACAAAAATTTGATAAAAATTCGCAAACCTGCGGAAAAAGTGCCAGTCTCTTCACTTTGATTATTTTGACGAGAGGCTGATTCCACCACGCTGCCTCACAAATAATGGAAAGGCCCTGTCGTATATTTTATTCTTTGTATGTTTTTACTTTGTTTGCTTCTTTGTTTGTTTGCTTATATTTGTTCTGTTTTTCAGTTTGTTTAGTTTTTTCTCAAAATATTCATATAACAAACGTCGTAAATGCGGCATTGTGTTACATTGTAAGTGACGTGGCGTCGGGCGAAGACCTCTGTCTGGACGCCCCCACATTTACGTTAGGACCTGCTATAGTCTGCTGGACAGATTTCAGGACTTAGTTCACAGTGGCTGGGGTTACACTAGAAATAAAGTTTTGAAGAATGGAGTCTAGATTAATCTTGGTTGTTATTGTTGTTGTTGTTGTTGTTGTTGTTGTTGTTGTTGTTGCTGTTGTTGTTGTTGCTGCCTTTGTGGGTTTTTTGTTCGTTTGGTTTTTTGTTTTTGTTTTTGCTTCTTTGACAGATCTATATTCCTTACCTTTTTCATTTTCACAGATCGGTATTGCTTACCTCTTTCACAATGCTCGCGTCAGACAGACGCGTTACACTATTGTTAGTTGTTTTTTTTAAAAAGAATTTCCTCGTTACATTTGAGGAAACGTTAGCGTCTTGTGAAGACAAACTGGGGGCTCTCGTGGCCCAGAGGTTAAGGTGGTCACCACTCATTCAAAAGGTCCCGGGTTCGAATCCGGGTAGCGACCGAAAAATGTTCTTCTCTAAAATTGTCACGTTTCACCTTTTTTCTTTCTCTATTGCAATATGCAATATTCTGTCGTCTGCTTTCGTCTCCACTTGCTTCCCCCACCCCTTCACCTCCTTTGCCCCCTTCACTGGGCTCCTGACTCTTTCTGCAACCTTTCTACGGCTACTCCTTGGCTCCTTCCTACTGCTGTCTTTCAACCACACCCCTGATCTTCTGGTAGAAAAGATCTGCACCTAGCCTTCTCCAACAAGGGCAAAAAATCTTGGAGTCCTGTGTGCAAGTTGTGCACGTTAAAGGTCCCTTGGTCGTCCAAAATCGATAAGAGTATGCTTCGGCCGTCACCTGGGCAAAATTCTAAATTTCCTACCAATTGAAAATATTTGGGGTATCCCGTGCACTCATATGACTTTTGCAATTGCGAGAGCCGTAAAACACTTACAAAAAAGAAAAAAAACCCCAAAAAACTCACGGTCACGTGGCGGTACGAATGAATTTTATTAGGAGGCTAGCTTATCATGGTTCTTACAGTACTCTCGACTGACAAAAGGTTGATTCTGAGGTTGGAGATCTGCAAAGTTGTGGCGGTGGCGGTGGTGATGATGATGATGATGATGATGATGATGATGATGATGATGATGATGATGATGATGATGATGATGATGATGATGATGATCTACGATTAGATGCAGTGTATTACAATTGTAATAAGTGCATCATACGACATTAATCTTCTTTCCTTCTTTATTTCTTCTTCGTATAAAACCAATAAATGAAAATTTGCTAAATACATGTAAATACACAAAGGAAAAATAAATAAATAGATAAATAAATAAGTAAATAAATAAATAAGTAAAAAAATGATCAGATAGATACATGAATAGATAAATGACCTTAGAGCATGCATCAGAAATACATTGAATATGTATCTAGCTTAAGATGATTATTGTTTATATTGCTGTTTATTTATATAATGCATGTGAATTAAAGCCTGCGTGTGTGTGCATGTTTGTGTGTGTGTGTGTGTGTGTGTGTGTGTGTGTGTGTGTGTGTGTGTGTGTATGTGTGTGTGTGTGTCTGTATGTACGTGGTGAAACACCAAACCAATGTGCTGGGATCTGGACAATAAAGATGTATCTTATCTGGTCTTATCTTATCTTATCTTATCTTATCTTATCTTATCTTATCTTAACCGTGACATACGGGAGACGTGAGTTCGATTCCATGCTGGGAAGGGTTTTCTTTTGCTTGAAAATCGAGTACCTCCGTCTGTTGTTGGGACATTTTAATCTCTCTCCGCTCAGGTTGACCCTGACAGACGGGGGTCAAAGGTGCCTGCCTTTTAAATGACCTACATCCTGTCGATAGAGGTGTAAAACATCAGCAAGTATATGTACAAATAATATTAAGAACCTCTCTTTTACTGTCTCGCCTCCCCCCTTACCCTGCGCCCCAAACCCGAGCTGCCCGCCTTCTAGATGATTGAAAAATATGAGGCAGCGTGGTGGAATCAGGCTCTCGTCGAAATAATGAAATCGAAGAAAACAGCAGTTTTCTCCCTGCTTAGCACTTTTTCTCAAATTTGTGTTTTTTGGCTCAACACCTTTGAGATCCATTTACAAACACATTCCTTTGAGGATTTCACCGAAAACGTTGATTAAAGGCACAAACCTATAAATCTACATGGACTCTCCATCTTTGGATTTACCAAGCTTTGGCGGCCATTTTCTCGCTAATTATACCTCTTAAACCAAGCTACCCCCACCTTCTTCAATCCATAATATCTCCACTTCTATTGAAGATGGATGGGTAATTTTTTCATTGAAAGCAAGACAAATGAACAAGCTTTGAGATGATACCAATAACTCAATATACCCAAACATTGACGAGAGCCTGATTCCACCACGCTGCCTCACAAATGTGTCGATGAGGGCATAAAACAATTATATTTACAGTTATAATTTGCAATTACAGATTACCATCACCTCTCTTTCACATCTCTATCGAAGCAACACACAATTCTAACAGGTAGTTAAAAAAATAACAATAAACGTCGCGTTTAAAAAACCTTTTCGTGTCTCCAACAGGACATTGACCCTACGACCTTCTACAACAACGTGACCTCCGTGACCGTCGTGATCTGCGCGGACATCGGGGTGAGCCAGAGCCACCGGCTCTACTACGCCATCTACCAGTTCCTGGTCATGTTCATCATTCCCGTGGTCGTCCTCTTCTTCTGCTACACCTTCGTCATACACGCGCTCTGGCTCTCCTCCAGGCAGCTCAAGCAGATGACGTCACACAGCAACAGGTGAGGAGGTGG